ACCACGTCTGGTAATCCGTTCAAATCACCCTGTGCCACTACCGAAATTTCACCGGTACCACTGACTTTTTCTTTGATGACCCTTCTCGCAACCCTTACAAGATCATCCAATGAGACATCATCAATCCTTTTGCACATTGCTTCTGCCGAAATCTTAAACCCGTGAACTTGAACCTGAAATAGAATAATAAGTTAAAGTAAATATAGAATGTGCAAATAAATTTTAGACTTAGATTAAGAACCTGTCTTCCCAGATCTTCTAGTTGAACCATTCGTGATTCTAAATTCATAAACAAACTACTTTTTAGTTGATTTTTTGCGCGTATGAGTTCTTGTTGGGTCACGCCACCCCGACCATAGCTTGTCACCAAATCGAATTGCCGGGAAATAACGTCTACGAGGACATTATTGTGTTCTGGGCGACACGATGCCATAATACCGAAAAGGCCCGAATCGGTATAACAATGATTGAAGCATACGCATGACTCCATCCATGGATATTGATTGAGGACATTTGTGAATAGGCGAGTATACATTCCTTTTCCAGGGCCACCAGCAGAAAAGGAACCCCCACCGCCAAGTAACATTTGAAGTACCGTAAGCGCGTAAATATCTGGATCATGGATTGAAAGTCCTTCGAATGCTATATAAAGATGTGTATGTGGAAGGGCTTGATCGATAAAAAGAGTACCTCCCGTATAATGTGCTTTTTGAGTTGGCACAGAAGACACTGTTGGATGTTTCAAACTAAGCAATGATGTTGCCGCTGTTGTAATAGTTTTGTACAAAGACGTTTTAGATTGTTTGTAACTAGGTGACGTGACAGCATATGACAATGATGGATGCGCATTAAATTCCGGAGATTTCGGCATGTCTCCGAAGTGCTTCAAAACCAACTCGACGACATCCTCGTGGCGTGCCCCAGCAGCAGCCACGACTATTCGCTCTGGACGGAACCAAGTTGATATGTAATCTTTTATTATTTGTGGAGTCATTGTTTTCAACCTGTCTTCCGGGCATAATATCGGATTTCCCAATGTATTATCCTTAAATGCAACAGTGTGAAGCAACTCGGGCATGATCAATTCGGGTTTTTTCCATATTTCCTCAATTTCATATAATGCAGTTTCTTGTTGTTCTGCCACTTCTTCGGGGCTCACGAGAGGGTTACGAATCACATTCGAGAAGATGTCTATAACCTTGGGTAAATCTTGGGGGAAAATAGCGGATTGATACATAATTGATTCACGACTGCTGACACACATAACGTTGCCTCCCAGTGACTCTATGATATTTCTTATTTGCTGACTTGTGTAGGTAGCGGTGCTCTGATAGGAGAAGGTTAAATGTCTTTGTAAAGTTGAATAAAGATTCTCGTTGAACAGTACGTAACGCTTAATCGACTTGATCTCATACCTTAAAAGCTAAACGATCTACAATGTGGGATACACCTATGTTTTGTGGTGTCTCGTATCTCGATCCTGCATCTATGCACACACCGACTGCTGAGAAGTGCCCGGGTGTATTTTCGGTTGTAACGCGTACACCATTCGGTAATGTCGATATCTTTGTTATGCCATCACACACGTGATCTAATCCTTCAAGGTTCTTGAAGTTAAACGTATTTTGAGAATTTTTCTTTGATGTTTAGATGCCTAAACACAGATATATATGTATATGTTCATTATAAAGTATCGTACAAAACCTGCACTTCATTGACTTCTGCGCGGGGAAAATTCGAGATCGAGGAAGCACGCCGATTTCCGAATTTACGCAGAGTATGAAGCCTCCAGAGACCATTTCTCATGAATTGTTTTGAAAACATTAAGGAAAAAAAAAAAAAAAAAGAAAAAACTATTATTTATTAAAATTACGTATCTGCGTACATTCTGATCTGATGTCATAAAGACCATTTTTGGAAATGCGACCACTCGGTGACATTAACGGTTTTAGCTTTAAGATTCCATATTCGGACTACTCATTTAAAGTTTTGGTGGTACAAACACGGTGCAAATTCTTAACATATATATTGTCAGGGTGTTCCGACATGGAAGCTGTTGTTTCTTATTTAACCTT